ATGAGCTTTTTGTTGAGTTTTGCAGATGTAAACAGACTAATAATAATAATAATGTAAAATGATTTAGACATGTGTGAATGAAACAAAACACAACTTGAGGTTTGTTTTCGATGAGCAACAACATTATAACATGACTTAAAGCTCACAAGAGTCAATTTTGCGTAATATAGGACCTTTAAAATTGTTTGGTAGATGCATGGCTTATCTACTTACTAATAAACAATGTATTTTTGAACCTTTATACACCTCAAATTTTAGGTTTTCATTATGTTCTCTGGACTGTAAATAAGTGTGTCATAGCAACACTAGTATTTACCACATATCTGTTTGTGTCTGTTGTGTCTTTGAACTGTTGTGAACATTTTATTTGACAAAATAGTGGGCAGGTCTGTTGATCTTTCCACACGCAGACGTAACAGAAACTAAACTTTGAAGGGCAGTTCTGGTTGGTTACACTGAAAACTAACCACATGTCATGGGTGAGCAGTGTTACAGTTTCATACACTTTATGAAGCTGAGTCTCTTTTTCGATTTATAGTTTCACAAGATTCTACTAATGTAATGTAATGTTATTTTAAAGGTCTTATACACTGTTGGGAAGGTGACTTTTAAAATGTATTCCCCTACAGATTACAGATTACATACACCAAAATGTAGTTTGTAACGTAATCCATTAAATTACTTAAAGTGAGTAACGTAATCTGAATACTTTGGATTACTTGATTTGCTGTAGAGAAGCAAAGACGAGGATCTGAACATAAGATGTTTTGTCTGATAAAAGAAAATAAAAAGCCCAGACTTTACTCAACCAAATTAAAAAATATTATTGATAGAAGAAGAGGAGACACGGTCCACACAGCAGGAGTTTAGTCCTGTTAAATCCTGGTTTAGTCCTGGTTTAGTCCTGGTTTAGTCCTGGTTTAGTCCTGGTTTAGACCTGGTTTAGTCCTGGTTTAGTCCTGGTTTAGTCCTGGTTTAGTCCTGGTTTAGTCCTGTTAAATCCTGTTTTAGTGCTGGTTTAGACCTGGTTTAGTCCTGGTTTAGTCCTGGTTTAGTCCTGTTTTAGTCCTGTTTTAGTCCTGGTTTAGTCCTGGTTTAGACCTGGTTTAGTCCTGGTTTAGTCCTGGTTTAGACCTGGTTTAGTCCTGGTTTAGTCCTGGTTTAGTCCTGTTAAATCCTGGTTTAGACCTGGTTTAGTCCTGGTTTAGACCTGGTTTAGACCTGGTTTAGTCCTGGTTTAATCCTGGTTTAGTCCTGGTTTAGTCCTGGTTTAGACCTGGTTTAGACCTGGTTTAGTCCTGGTTTAGACCTGGTTTAGACCTGGTTTAGTCCTGGTTTAGACCTGGTTTAGTCCTGGTTTAGTCCTGGTTTAGTCCTGGTTTAGACCTGGTTTAGTCCTGGTTTAGTCCTGGTTTTAGTCCTGGTTTAGTCCTGGTTTAGACCTGGTTTAGTCCTGGTTTAGTCCTGGTTTAACCTGGTTTAGTCCTGGTTTAGTCCTGGTTTAGACCTGGTTTAGTCCTGGTTTAGCCCAAAATGTGAAAACAGGAAAATACCTCTGTGTAATCCATTTATTCCAACAAAGTAACTGTAATCCGATTACCACTCACTGAAACAGTAACTGTAACTGAATACAGTTACTCATCATTTGTACTCTGATTACATAACTCCGGTACATGTAATCTGTTACTCCCCAACACTGGTCTTATATTACGCAAAACTGACTCTTGTGATCTTTGAGCCGTATTATAATATTGTTTCCTCATCAAAAACAGACCTGGAGTTGTGTTTTGTTTCATTCACACGTCTGAATAATCCTGCATTATTATTATTATTAGTCTGTTTACATCCCCAAACCTCAACAAAATGCTCTGATCCACCTTGTGATGTCATGTAGTGGTAGTTTTCAAGTTAACAGCTCCTTTTTAATCATTAATTTAGCAGAGATTGAGCAGAGATTGTGTTTTCAGTTTGAGAGAAAAACTCAGCCTAAAAATACAGAGTTTGTGCCGTGGGAATGAAACAAAACACAACTCCAGGTATGTTTTTGAAGAGGAAACCACAAAATAGTGTAATTTGAGCGATTTAACTATCATTTTAACTATTTGGTCTAAGTTGTGAACAGTGTTATTTGTAGATCACTGAGCAATATTAACACTTCTGCAACAGCTGAGGGTGTGTTCACACTCACACCACAAGACCACAAGTTTAGTAAACCAAGACTAGACCAGAACTAAACCTGAACTAGACCAGAATCAAAATGGACTAGACCAGAACTAAACCTGAACTAGACCAGAATCAAAATGGACTAGACCAGAACTAAACCTGAACTAGACTGAACTAGACCAGAATCAAAATGGACTAGACCAGAACTAAACCTGAACTAGACCAGAAGAACTAGACCAGAACTAAACTAGAACTAGAAGAATAAAGATGAGGACTAGACCAGAACTAAACCTGAACTAGACCAGAACTAAACCTGGACTAGACCAGAACTAAACCTGGACTAGACCAGAACTAAACCTGAAATAAACCAGAACTAAACCTGAACTAGAGCAGAACAAAAGAAGGACTAGACCAGAATTAAACCTGGACTAGACCAGAACTAAACCTGAACTAGACCAGAACTAAACCTGGACTAGACCAGAACTAAACCTGAACTAGACCAGAACTAAACCTGGACTAGACCAGAACTAAACCTGGACTAGACCAGAATCAAAATGGACTAGACCAGAACTAAACCTGAACTAGACCAGAACTAAACCAGGACTAGACCAGAACTAAAGATGGACTAAACCAGAACTAAACCTGGACTAAACCAGAACTAAACCTGGACTAGACCAGAATTAAACCTGGACTAGACCAGAACTAAACCTGAACTAGACCAGAACTAAACCTGGACTAGACCAGAACTAAAACCTGAACTAGACCAAAACTAAACCTGGACTAGACCAGAACTAAACCTGGACTAGACCAAAACTAAACCAGGACTAGACCAGAACTAAACCTGAACTAGACCAAAACTAAACCTGGACTAGTCCAGAACTAAACCTGGACTAGACCAGAACTAAACCTGAACTAGACCAGAACTAAACCAGGACTGTAACAGAACCAGACTAGAACTAAACCAAGCTGTTTCTGATTCATGTGAACTGTACTGTTTATCAAGACTTATTTTATGACTCAAACATTTTTTTTTTTTGTTTGATTTCATTTGAGTTTGATGTTTGTGACTGAAAACAGCAACATCCCAGATTTTTTCACTTACAATTTCCCTTTTTTTTCGCTCACAAATGCACCTCAAACACCTTCAAACGTACACAGATTTGAGCGGTAATGCTGCGTAACGACAAAGACACGTGTTTCTGTTGTATCCGAGCATCTGTTAACACCACTAGCCAGTTAAAAGCCGCCTTAGTGCAAATATTTTCATAACTTCCTCTGCATGTTATCTGTAATTCTAGTCATTTGAACATTATTATACTCTATGAGACAAAATATATAGCAGGTTTTGCGTTTTACAGTCCGTCTACGTTAAAAGATGTGATTTGCTTATTGTAGTTTGAGATGTTTTCATGTGTTTTGGTATTTACAAGCCGGGAAGAAGAGAGGCTGGTTAAATCTTTGAAAACACGTCCAAATGTTTAAAGGGCCTATATTACATTTTCTTTTCTGATCCGTTACCTCATCAAAAACACACCCGGGCTTGTGTTTTGTTTCGTTCACACATGTTTAACACACAAACCCTGCGTATTTAGACTGAGTTCTTCTCTCAGAACAGAAAACACTCCACGCTCGAGCGCTTGATGTCATGTGGAAGTGCTCCACTGTGTTTTTAAACTCCATACAGCTTCACTAGGATCATTTGGATAATTTCAGCCCTGGAATTTCATGACATCACGAGGTGGAACAGAGCATTTTGAGCTTTGGAGATGTACACAAACTAATAATAAAGAATTACTCAAACATGTGTGAATGAAACAAAACACAAATCTGGGTATGTTTTTGATGAATTAACAGTATTATAACACGACTTAAAGCTGCATTGCGTGACTTTTCTGGTGAGGGTGTCCATCAAATGCCGTCGAGATGTTATTGCTTTGCCTGAAAAGTTCCACAGTATGATATTAAACTTTTCTATCTTACCAAGTTACAGGTCAGATCTGTAGAGAGGCGTCAGAATGCCTGTTTTTCAAGGTATTTTTGCGCTATAAAACCACTTGTAGCTGAATAAATGTAAGGTACATTGGAAAAAAACAGATCTAGGTAAGTTAAAATCACTTAAATTAAGAATATTTTACTTTATTTGAGCCGATTCAACTTGACAAGTAATATTATCTATCAATGGAATAAGAGTATTTTTCTTAATTCAAGCAACATTTAGTTTTGTTTCATATTTTAAGTGCAAAAATTTGTTGTTTTTCTTATTTTAAACGTAGAAAGATGTATTTTCATATTTTAACTACAAAAAGTCTTGTTCCACTGGCAGATCATTTTACTTGTCAGGTGAAATTTCCTCAAATCATGATAAAACTTTCTTAATTCAATTCATCTTAACTTGACTAGATTTTGTTTTTTGCTGTGTAGAGCCGTTTAATGTCACACTGTGGAACATTCCAGGCAGTAAACATGTGACATATCCATAAAAATAAGCGGTTGACGGACGCCCAACCAAAAAGTTACACCGTGCACCTTTAAATAGTCAGTAAATAATGGTCCATTTTGTACGATTTAGGACCTTTAAGCTTGTTTTCGTGATTGAAGGAGATGAAAGTTTAGTCTAAAAGCTGCCAATTCATACTTCATGGTGTTTGGTAAGCAGCCATGTATCTGATCAATTATTTAAGTGACAAATTGTAGATGGCGGATATCAGTAATACCCCATAGAGATGCAGCTCTAATCTAATTTGGGCCAAAACTCCCGAGGAAAACCATCTATCTTTAAGGGAAAAAAGCCAAAGCGTAAACAAGCGAAAACAAATGATGCAAAGAAAGCAGATAAGTCAGATAAGAATTTCTTATTATTCCAATAAAAAATACATTCATACAGAAATATAACAATTTTGCAAAACAATTTCAAATAAAAATTTCATAAAGCATAAACATAACAATTTTACAAAAGTTGTTTTTTTGTCTTTTTTTTATACAAAGATTCGGAACAAAGAGCTGTGTGTGTATTTTGAACGACATTAACGGTAGTGGTATAATGAGAAGTGATGAAAATGTGAGCAAAGTTTTAAAGCTACATCAAGGCTCAATCACTGAAAAATAGGTGCGTATATTTGCCTGTAGAGAACCAGTATTCCTCTGTCCAACGCAGCGCTTTCCGATCTGAAATCTATAGCCTGCAACATCGGATTTCCAAGGAGAAGGTAGCTGGCTCTTTTTCCAGGACTTTTCAACAATTATTCACTATTAGCTGCATAGGGACATTTCTTTGTGCCAAGTAAACCAGCTCGCTGTGTCGCCCCCTTTCCCCTTCCCCTTTCCTACCCCACGCTGACTCTCTCTCTCTCTTACCCCCGTGGTAGTTTTCATAATACTGTTGCAGCTAAAACAACGCAACACCAGACAGGTCAATACGCAGCCTACAGCGTCAGCAGTCTGTGACAAATCCCACGCCAACAAAACCTTTAGCGATTCATTACGTTGGGTCTGTACAAGGCGAGCCCTGTCCAACTGCTGCCTGTTAATTACAATAAATCTTTAGCGTTTTTCCTTCGGTCCCCAACCTGTGCGTCGAAGGACAAGGAGGAGACCGAGAGGATGCTGGGAAATGGGGTGGGGGGGGAGAGGAGGAGGAGAAGGAAGAGGAGAAGGAGGAGGAAGGGGGGGCTTTGTGATAGACTGGCACATACTACACAGTAGTTAACAACTTTAATTAATGAATGGGTAAGTGCTTTAAACATACATTAAGTTGTCGTATTTACAATTTGTGGCTTGACTTGAAGGTGGTACATGACAGAGACTAGTGCTAAAAACAAAAAAAAGGTCCTTTTTGGGGCAATTTTACATTTAAACATTGTCAATAAAAATCACATGTAATTGAGCCTTGATAGAGCAGGTCAAATCACCCATACAAAGAAATGTGACGTCCCCTCAGGGCTCAGTCACTTGCATAAGGCACCATTAAGGTCAACAGTGCATTATTCCATAGAAAACCGAAAAGTACAAAAATTAAAAAAGCACATCCTCGTAGCATCAGATGAACGCAAACAATATCCGTGATTAGATAAAGCAGTGGCGGCTTGTCCAGAGTGATGGGTGAATGTAGAAATCATCAAGGCTTTATGTACAATATTGTAACATTTAACCGCTCGCATTTAGCTGCACTTTAATTGAACTATTTGCAGTCCTGATTACAGTGGAAACAGGAAATGAACAAACCCTAGAACCATGCAACACCTGTCTATGATACGGAAGTTATAGTATAGTTGTGTTATACCTCTAAGCACACAGCTTATACAATTGGACTACAAATGAGCTTTGTAGCTTGTAAAAAAATAATAAACCAGGCTACATAACACATTGCACATTTAGTAGCTGCACCAAAAAACACCAAAAAAGCTCCTGTCATACAGTGACCGGGGCGTCAGGGTCGAGTGGGACACAGACCTGAGGGGCATTTGGACCTGCCCTCAAACCGCTCTGCCCAGGACCACAGACAGGGGGCGATAATCACCCCGCTCCACCGGTTCGGGTGCCACACGAGCAGGTTGGTCTCCCTGCCCCGACCTCACATTGCCACAGGGCAGAAACACAAGTGCTCCTCGCCCCAAGAATCCCATTCAGTCCACAGCAACACGGCACCAGCCCCAGACCGCACGGACCGCCACAGCTCCTGCACTTCCTGGTCACGTGGGGCCGGTGAGCCAATCGCAGACATTCACAGTGCACACATGCTTACCTCAGACTGTTTTTGTAAAGTACCAGTGTATCTGCTGTCCGGGAGATGTCCCCAATTCATGCACCATACATACAATTCATTCATTCTTTTTGTCTGTCTTTTATGATATTTTTTTTTTTAGATTTTTTTGTTAAAAGTCCTTCTTGATCAAAAAGAAAACTCTTCCTCGTCCATGATTTTGTCCTCTTGTTGCAACAGACAGCCTTTCTCCAAAGAGAGGTCCCGGAGGCACTGGGTTCAGGTGCAAAACGGCATGCTTTGGCTGGAACTCACTCCCTACACTCTGCTCTGGGACAGTTCAACCAGAATCTGGTCGGGAGACGCGTCAGAGTCTCTCCTTAAACGTGGGGTGGTTTGCCCTGTTTAGATGTGCCTCTTCATGTGGAGGGCCAGATGGTCAGACCTGGAGAAACATCTGGGGACAGAGGGAGGGACAAAGGAGTTAACAACAATGCTAAAGAAATAGACTCCAGCTCAAAAGGACTCACTGCAGGGTCTTTGAGGGCCGTTTGAATAGACTGCTCTGGGCTGACACATGTGGCAGTTTGGGGAGAAGTAATAAAACAGGCAAACGTGTTTCTTTAGGATAAATAAACTCCTCCCAATTTATTTTATCAACAAAATGAAACTCAACGCCCCTGTGCTTCTAATCGGCTCATATCACAAGGCTCTGTGCATCACATAGACGGCTGCACATAGATTGAGGCCATCTATCTTAGTGAGAGGAACAAACAAAAGCTTATCACAAGATGGACGACATCATTCACAGATAAAGGTCCTGCTCACCTGTCACAGTGACTGCATTTAAATGGCTTTGCCCCAGTGTGCTTCCTGAAGTGTCTGGTCAGCTCGTCGCTCCGTGCAAAACGCCATTCACATCCCTCCCATGAACACCTGTACGGTTTCTCACCTGCAGGGGGAACAGGAGAGTTAATGTCATGTTTAATACTGTAAATCAACACAGACAGGCAACAATGAGCCATTCATTCCCCGTCCCTGCTCTGCTCTGTTGTCATTTAAATATAACCAAATCAATCAGCCTCAGGACAAGACACTGAAGACACTGCCGACACCCCTCACTCAAGACCCAGATTCCTCTGAACCTGTTGCTCCACTAACTGGTTTTCATGCAACCCGAAACATGTGAAGAATGTGCAGAAAACACTGGTGCGGGTTTGAGAAAGCCACACGTGCAATTTCACGCTGCTAATCAAAAATAAGAAGCGGTCAAATGACCATTCACAGCCTTCCAACTCAGTGCCCCTGGCTCCCCGCCCATTCAGCTTTCCCATGGTGAAACCCAATCTGTTTTGGAGGACTGAGGCCTTTTATCTCCCATGTGCTCCCCTCCCCCTCCTCCCTGCGCTCTCTCACTCAGCCACATTCCACATAGATTAGGTCACACTTTAGGTATCCAGCCATGCAGAGCTAATACTCGCACAGCTCCAGCTGAGGACATCATGCAATGTGGACCTTTAATTACATTACACAATGGATGGACAATGCCATTACGATGCAAGACTGAATTAATAGCGCTCCCAGCCTTCACTCAGAATAAACGGAGATGTTTTAACTGTGGCAGTTTCACACTGAGCTCTGGTTCCTGTGTGAGGTCACCTGAGGTCATATTGACACATGTCTCCCACAGATGTATCGTCTCGGTTATAAACACTGGGACCCTCACCTGTGTGGGTGCGCTGGTGTGCTTTGAGGTGGGAACTCTTCGTGTAAACTTTGCGACAGCCGTTGAACTGACACCTGTGAATCCTCCTCCGACCGTCCGGAGACGCGTCCCCGGAGATGAGTCCGCTCTTATCCGACCCTTTGGTCATTCCGCCGCTCCGGATTTTCACCGGCAAGTGCAACTCCCCGTGCGCCGCCATCCAGCCGTTGGACACAGGCCCGGGCTCCGTGTGGGCCTCCGGAGAGGACGGCGGCGTGCTGATCACAGACGGGCTAAAAGGTCCAGAGCCCACCAGCACAGAGCCCAGCGGGTTGGAGCTAAAGCTATGAGTCGGGGAGAGCTCCTCCGAACTGTCTGAGGCCTCGCTGCTGGCGTCCGAGTGCACGCTGTGGCTGTCCAACAGCCCGCTGTCCTGATTGTCCTCGTCCTGCGTCACCACGGGGATCTTTGGGTCACACTCGCCCTTGGTCTTGTCCCCACATGCCAAAATCAACTTGCTCCAGAGGTCCTCCTGTCCATCAAACTTCAGGTCTGTCGTGGACACGTAGGGTTCACTCTGAAGGTAGCGTTCCAACTCCAAACATGTCTGCAAAAACACAAGGAAATGGAATTATGAGTTTGTGCAGCAACACCACTGGAGAGCAGAGGTTCATTGAGAGACTCCTCTATGGGAAATCCCTTTAAATCATGCATGTGCACACAGCCCTAACCACTCTGAGCTCATTTTAGTAAACGCTGACTGCAGAAGTTTGGGGCATTTTGGCTGCTTCTGCAGAATAAGGCACACTGCCCTAATCTGTATTGTAATTTGCAGCCTAATCACTTCAGTCATCACGCCTATATTCATAATATTATCCTTAAACGCTTTGTGATCTCAGATTTCGTGCTGAGTGTGGTAAAAAATCTGAACTGAAAAGAAATGATGCTACACCATTTCTATTTTAGTCTGCCTCATCTAATCGCCACGGTGATTGTGCTGTATCCATAAAAATCCTCACATTTTCCAGCCTAGCAGCCGTCTATTAGCCCTAAACACATACTTCACAACACTGTGTCATGCCGGAGCCAGCAGGGCCCCTGTGATTTATGTCCCCTGGGATGTCACCGTCCATAAACAGACTCCATCCTCCACCTGAGAGTAGCCCCAGAGTAAACGTGCATTGTCATTTGTGCTAGCACGACTGACTCACAAATTTAGAGTCCTTTTAAGGAAGCCAGCTCACACACACTTCCTCTCACATGCAAAAGCTCTTGGTGCTGTTTTACCTCCTGCGTACCTCTGACATGCTATCACATCCTTCCTCTGTCAGTGTCACCCCTCTCCCTCTGTGTCCCTCTCTCTCTCTCTTAGGCAGCTGGCTATAAAGATACAATTTACTACGGCTATTAAAGTTGGAAAAATACTTATATGGAAGGTGCACAACACATTTGACGAGGCAGATGCGGGATAAACATTTTCCTTTGGGCACTGGCTTCTGCGGGCTTGCACGATGTTTTCCAGCTGTACTAGTATCTACTCATGCACGAAGCAATTGGCCATGGCTGACATTTGATAGCCCCATGTTGTTGTGTGCAGAGTCCATTCAAATCACGACAGGCGTTTGAAATTCAAGTTTTTCATCTAAAAGCTTGTCACAAATATAAAAATTATGCACGTGTGACATGCGAGCTTATGAATAGTGATAGGAATCAAAATTGGTTCGGCGCCAGGAGTAATAAAATGCCTGTATATTGGAATGCCTGGAGCGATTTTGACATTATTTGAATATTGCTCATATAATTTGAATTCTTTTGGTTAGAGCTACAACATAATGTATTCTTCGTGATAGTGGAACACAAATTACAGTGTAGTTCAAAGGTTCTGCGTTTTAGGAGACAGATTTACAAGTTTGAAATTCAGTAATTTGATCGAAAATGCAAGCAAAACCCGCAGATAGATTCGCGTGCTCTGCCTGTAGAACTGCTGGTCGTGCAGTGGGCATTTGCTTATCCGTCTTACTTTGCGAAGCACCACCACGCGTGATTTGTTTGAATTAACCAGTGCAAGAGCAGGCTGCACTGGTACTACTGACTGACTCGTCTGTCTAGCTCCGATCCAATCCCCCCCCCTCCCTCCCGCCCGTTAACGCAACGACCCTCACTGCTGTCAGGAATGAAACCATGCACTCAAAACCATGTGGGTAAAAAAAGAAAAAGGCACCGCTCGAAATATCGCAGCGCTAACACATCGGCTGGCTGTCTGTCTATTGCGCCTTGCTCTAAGTTACTCTCCACTCATTCATCTTGGCGCAGCGCTGCCTCGTCTCCAGCTGTCAGTGTGACACACTGATCTACTTCAGCCTGCCAAAACTTCACAACCAGAAACTGATAATGAAAACGCACGTCTGGGAACAGCGCAGGTTGCGTGTCTGCATCCCACACCTCTTGCTCAACCCCTTTACGATGACATTTTTAACTTCTTTTCGCCAAGTAAAGCACCACGGAGAAATATTACCTCGGTCACAAGCGGGAAACCAGCTTCCTTCCGCTTCCCAAAACAATTTGCTATACGCGTAAAAAAATATTGCATCGTATATTCACCTGCTGCCAGTACTCCTCCAAGGATGGTAAGGCTGAAAAATAGCCCGTGTCGTGAACTATTTGAAGTTCTTGAAAGATGCTGCACATCGGTAGAACATCCATTTTCCCGAGATTGGTTAGAAAAAGCCTAAATTAGCTGCGCGTAAAGAGTATAAAACACCCAGTGGAGATGCGTAAAGCGAGGATGAAAAGGTAGCGTGTATCTCCTGTCGTATCTCGCATGCGAAGTAGCGCTTGTTTTCGGCTGCAGTCAGAGCGGATCGTCCGTCCCCCTCCTTCTCTCTCTGCTCTCTCTGCTTGTGTTCAAGATATTTGCAAACACCGCACTGGACTGGACAGCGAACAACTGCGCTCTGCAAACTTCCCTATTCAAACCAAGAAGCCCGCCCCCCTTCCTCACGGCTGGATTACGCCTTCGACGCACGGACCAATCAGCCACGACCAGGGGGCAGGCTTTGGAATAATATAACAAGTAACCAATCGTATTTACCCTGTGACTTCATCTTGGTTTTTGCGTAATTCGATTGGCCGGTTTGACTGCCCCTGCCGCGCTCTGATTGGCTGGTTATTTTTAGTTCCTATATAAGCGCACTGGACTTCTCTTCCTCTCGGTATTCTCCAGTCTGTACGCTACATGTTTCGCCACAGATAGCGCATGTGAGCCGATACAGTTTCACTCCTGGTCCCTGTGACTCGCTTCTGAGCAACTTTGGCACAAGTAAGGCTTCGAAAAACACCTTTGGTTAAGCGGGGATGACTTCACCAAAACTGAAACTGTGGCGAAGCGAGTTGTTGTTGTCGCCCCGCTCCGTATCCAGGCGATGGCCAATGACAACACGCGCTATTATGGAGTTATCAGCAGTGACTTAAGAGGAAACATGAATGCGCACTTCTCTGTTACTGAGTTAAAATAGATCAACGCACTTCTGCTTTGACATTGTGATGGCCAGGAACTCGTATCCACTTAGCTTTTTCTTTTTTTTTTTAAGTTTACTTCATAACAAATGGAAACTTCAGCTACTACTTGACTACCAAACAAAACAAAGCCTGCTTTCCAAATGTTATGTAACCACTATGGGAAGGCTGGACCAATTTATTTACATTGTTTTAGCAGATAATACAGTGGATAAGTTGTGCAAAACTCACTTCAAACTATTGTGCATGAAAGCAGAATAACATGTAGTGATATGCCAAGTTAATTTGCATATTTATGAGTAGTAGTAGTAGTAGTAGTTTTAGCTCAATAAGTTATAAGTTGTAGATTGTTTAGTTGCATTTTTAATTCATTTTAAACACAAACTACTATCTAAACCCCCTTTTACACTTAAATTACCAATCGCATTATTCATTAAAAGCTTAAAGTTTAGGGAACTACTGTATAGACTAGGGCTAGTGGAAAATCTGAAGTAACTTTCCACGTGTGAGTCACCACCATAAATATTTGGTAACCCTTTGCTTGTGGCAATATGCAGATGGGTGATGACTAACGCTGTGCTAATCTCAGTCCAGGTACAGTAGTTGTACCTCACATAGTGTTCTGACAGCGCTGCCAATGCAATACTTGGCATTAGTGGCTTGTAAATGTTATGAGCACATATTCTTAAAGGTCCAATATTACGCAAAATTGACTCTTGTGAGTTTTAAGTTATGTTATAATACTGTTACTTAATCGAAAACATGCCTGGAGTTGTGGTTTGTTTCATTCGAACATGTTTGAGTAACTTTTTATTAATAGTCTGTCTGCATTTCCAAAACTCAAAATGCTCTATTCCCCCTTGTGATGTCATGAAGTAGTAGTTTTCAGCTACAGTTTTAGCTTTAGTTCAGTAGAGATTGGCAATTCCAGAACCGAAATTATCCAAATGATTCTAATGAAAGTGTGTATAGTTTAAAAACACAGAAAACACATTGTGATGTACAGGAAGTTGTCCACTGTTTGAGAGAAGAACTAAGAAGACTAGAAGCCTAAATATGCAGGACATGTGTGTTTGACATGTACATCTCATCTCATGGTATGGTATTTATTGCGATTTTTATTGCGAAGAGGCTAATATAATTGTAGATCGGACACTTTTATGCATTTGAAATACCTTGACAAGATTTTGGTGTGAATTATTTCCATCATAATCCCAAGAATTCAAGTAAAAAACTTATATCTTCATGTTGTCTGCACGGAAATGAATTATGGGAAATGTAGTTCCCGATGTTTATTAGACATTTCTACTATAAAACAAAGCATTTAAGCAAAGAAACTTGTAATTTGATATGTATAAAGATATTATTGTGAGACTTTTTACGATACGATATCACGATATTTTGGTTACTGTTACATCCCTGCATGTGAATGAAACAAAACACAACTCCAGGTATATTTTTGATGAGGAAACAGCATAACATAGATCAGAAAACAGCGTAATATGGCCCTTTAAAGCAGTTACGATTTGTCTAATAAAAACACAGATTTGTAACTATTATATTCCCCAAAACAAAATCGGATTTAGCAGCTGCAATTTGGTTTTCTATTGCTTCTCACTGTTTACAAATTCATTACTTTAATTTCGGGACAAAATAGTTTGGATCTAATCTGATAGGATTTCATGTTGGCTAATGGAAATTACAACTCTTCTGTGACATTTATTGAAGCCGACTACAAAAGTGTACACTAAAAGTTAAATTACACCCCTTCATAATCCCACTGCTGTCTGGTGATCCCAGCTGTATTCCTTCATGAGCGACTTCGTTCCAGCCACATTCCATCACATATTTGGCAATGGCAGAAGACGTCAGCCCGGCTCTTATCGTTTCCTCTTTTGGGGCAGCAGCTACTCGCGTGCACTAGTCCGTGGTATGAGCACTATAGTAGGACAGAGCGGTATTGGATTTTATTTTCCCGATGTGACTGTTAGGAACTGCAATATCGATAATTATTCAGATTTAAAGGCGCACTGTGTAACTCCGCCCTCTGCTTGTCTCCATGGTGATGTTATTGCCTTAAACAGATAAACACATACATCTTGCATTTATTAAATCATAGGAGTTTTTATTTTTTTTTCCCTTAACTACCACAAAAACATGCGTTACAATGAGAGCGGGCTGACCTCTCCACAGATCTGACCTGTAACTTGGCCTGGTGATGTGGCTTCTTGTCTCCATGGAGATTAAGTTAAATTTGATGTCATAATGTAGAACAGGGGCGTCAAACTCAAAATCACAGATAGACAAAATTAAAAACTGGGACTAAGTCGTGGGCCAAACTAAATATTTATTGAGAAATTTCAGGAAATATCTGCATGTTTTCTCTTCTTTCGAGATATGTAACATTAAACCTTTTTCTTATTCAAATGTTTCATAATAGTTTTGCTTAAACAATGAATCCAGAACAAGCATAATATAAAATAATAACAACATTTTAAATAAATAATGTCTTTATAGTCTATCTGTAGTCTGTGGATCAGCTCTAATACATGTTTGATATGATCTCCAGGGCCAAATGTAATTATGTTGCAGGCCAAATTTGGTCCCCGGGCCTGAGTTTAACATGTCTGCTGTAGAACATTCCTGAACAAAACGATAACATCTACATGAAGTCAAGCAGAAAAGGTTCACAATGTACCTTTAAAACAAACTTTAACCAAATTTCAGATAAACAAAAACAAAAAAGTACATGGATTAATTTAAAATGAAAATGACATAAGGAAAAATGTAATAAAATTTTGTTTAGTTAACATAATAAATTTTTTAAAGTGCATCTTTGTCAGAGGGAGAGGTATAGCTACATATTGATTTAAAATGTGTTATTTTTTTGTAATTCAGTATTGCATTATCGATACTAACGATGCCCCGTCCAGCTTTTTCTGTTCCGATACTAATGTTGATATTCTGGGTTTAAGTATTTGCCGATATCAGATATTAAAATGTGGGTTATTTCTTTTTAAACACAAACAGCTTAGGGTAAAAAATTATCCAAATGTGTTTTGTAACTATTATTTATTTATTTTTATTTATTTATTTTATTTTATTTAAGTAACTACAGAAAAGCTTTGGAAAAAATTCAAGTTCAATATTGAGCAATGTTTGAGATGAACATTGGCCAATAAATCGTCTTAATACACTAATTTATAGACCAAAATGGGATGATATTGACTGAACTGATATCCAATCCATCAAAATTTTAAATATCTGATACCTGCATAGTATCGTTACATCCCCTAGTCGATACTTTTGCGATATACAGTATATTGTGAACACTGGTCTCTTTCCTCTGCCCGGCTCCTCTGCTCGTTGCGTAAGTTCGATCATAGCGTATGTAGCATGTCGCTCGGCGTTGGGACCAAGACTTCCATGGCACGGCATCCCATCGTGAGATAAACAACATCTCCACACAGCAGGCCCATTGTATTCCAAAGTGGCAGTATTTTCTGAGTAGACAACTGAGCCCTCTTTGTGCTCCATGAGGCCATATTTGTCGCTAGTAGCATCTGATTCAGTCATATGTCCGTGGATGCCTTCAGAAGCCTGGAGCTGGCCCCTGTCTCCCTGCAAAGGAATTCCACATTGCTTTTATGTTTCTAATAGGCCCCCATTCATTATGTCCCTACAGGATTCACTGGACAGTCTGCTTTGAAGAGGGAAGCTTAGAGTGAATCCCTGTCTATTTAAAAGGGATACTAAATTTTCCTTTGTCGCAATTTGTGATGTTACAGATAAAGGAGATTATATTTTGAGTTGTTTTGGTAGTTTGCAGAGAAACGTAGATGTTACTTAGATGGATGTCGATGGTAATTCTGTATTCTGTATATAGAAATGGACATGGCTAACCTGTTGGAAATGGGAAATGAGCATGGGGACGCTTCTGGCTCCATCAATTGTCAAACTAATCCCGGCGTTTTTATTTTGTTTTGTTTTTTTGGTAAATTCTAGGGATGTAACAATAACCAAATCCCTCGATACAATATTTTCACAATATGCATCTCACGGTACGATATTTATTGCGATATTTTGTGGAGGAGGTGGAGCAAAATGTGAATATGCTACTTTTTTCTTTTAAAATGCATCGGCAAGACTTTGGTTTTGTTATAATCCAAGACATTTTTCATGTAATTGTCACTCAAATGGTGAAAAGGATCATGGTCTATGTAGTTCCCTCGGTTTTTGTAGATAAATTGCTGCACTATAACTTAGAGACTTTGATATTTAATATATTGTGACAGCCCATATTGTGAGATATTTGATGATACAATATCACAATATTTCGGTTATTGTTATGTCCGTAGTAAATTCCTATTCCTTACATGGACATCCAAATTCTTCCCTATTAGTGCTGGCCTCTTGAGCTTCATTTGACTGAAGCTGAACG